TACCAAATTATATTAATATAATTTAAGTATCAGTTAAAGATTAATACACAATGGGTCATTATGTTTTACATTTAAAAAAGAACTGAAAAATATACCGAAACCTAAACATATGAGGGTACAAATTGTTCTTTCAAACACTATAACCGTGTATTTCTATTAATAGGACTTATTATACTGGTGTATAGAATTATAGCAACACAGATACATTTATATATTTATTATTACAGATACAGATACATTATTTATGATTACCTGTACAGGTAATCATAAATAAACCAATTTTAATCTGTGTGATAAACCAATTTTTATAAACCAGTATAATAAGTCCTATTAATAGAAATACACGGTTATGGTGTTTGAAAGAACAATTTGATTAAATTAGGACATTGATGCAGATTAATTAATATGAGGGTACAATTTCAAGAGAAATATTGTGATATCAGATTTAAATTATTTGTTACGAAGTTTAGAAAAGAGATGAGAATTAAATTTCATTTTGACTTTTTCATTTTACAGATCGTTTTCTATGATCCTTTTCTACTTTGCTTCAGATGCACAACTACCAAAATAAGACGCAGCAGTACACAATAGCAGATCATAAATCTTTAGAGGGTGTGCAGAAAAGGAAAAATTATGCCTTACATAATTTTCTATTGCGATGTCCGGCTTTACTCGGGAAAATCCTCACAAGGAAATGCAGCTGCGTCCTGAACACCTCCCTAAATACCCCCTACTGTACATATTAATGTGTATTCTGATTATTTTTTTTTGTTTCCGTGTACAGTATTTTCTCTGAAGATGTACTCGACTACTTTATCTTTAGAAGATATCTTGGCAAGTAGAACATCGTCTTTGATCTTGATTTTGTTGTTGTTGAACTAGTATACAAGAGTTTTGGAACGTGCGGTTGAAAAAAAACCGTGCTGTATCTAATAAACTTAATATTTTGTTACCGTAAAAATAAAACTGTTGCCTTTTCTAAATGCATTACTAATTAATTTGTTATTATTCATTATTCTTAAAAAATAGTTAGAGATCCGATTATCTGTTTTATAAAGGACTAAATCTTCTTTCATCTTCGTTTATTTCTATAGGTATTTTGTCATATTCCGTCGTTTATGCTTTATATACTCAATCTTCTGTCATATTTTGAAACGGATTATTTCGGATATTATCGTTTTATCTTGCAGCATCAATCCATTTTTCTGATAAGAAGTTTGGATAATGTAATCTGATCCAAGTTTTCTTTTATTAAAAATTACTTATAATAATAAAATTATCATTATATCGCGATATCATTATATTATCAAAGAAATATGTATTTTAATTTATTAAACACTTCCACCAGTGGCCGAGATAAAACCACTAAATACTGATAGTTGATCCGAGTTCGCGCTTCATCAACAGGCTGGCCAAGCGGGATTTTCTGGGTTTTTTCACGTGTGTAACATCTAAATAGGGCCAGTTTTTTCATAGAAAGTCTTCATGAAAGGCACTCTCCCTGGCTGATTCATTTGTAGCGTTGACTTATCCCATCCTAATTTATTAAACAGGATTATTATTTCAGAATTACGAAGGTTTAATGTTCTCGTTTCCATCATTGTCTGTTTGACTTTGTCATTTCCATTTGATGAATCGTAATTGTATAAAACAGAAATATTTTTATCAATTTTCTAATATGAAATATTTATAATAACAATATTTGATCCGATATACGCGTATGTAATTAAAACTCTTTAAATTTAAAGTCGGAAGCTTTTATTTATTTTATTATTGGTCGGCATTAAATGTAGTGTTCTAAAAGTCAGTTAATCGAGATATATAATTTCTTAAAGCTGGTTTAGTTTTATTTTGGGCTATCCTCCATATTTTAATCTTCAAATAAAGAATTATTTACTGTTTCCAATATGCTTCAATTTATCTCTAATTATTCTAGTTCATTATTCTAGATCCAAGTAACAATTTTTATTACTTTTTTTATACTAGAAAAAGCAGGATAAAATTAAAATAAAATTAACGTGTACAGTATGAATAACAAATCACAATTTTTCAAAACGAACGAAGAGAGATATTTTAATTTTTTATCATTTTATCAACAAATTTTTCGTAATTAATCTGTCCATCTTCATCAACACCAGCCACTCTTATCATTTCTTTAGTCTCTTCACTTGATAATTTTTCTCCCAGAGTAGTCATTATATTATACAATTTGAACGAAGATATATAACCGCTTTCTTCTTTATCAAATAATCTAAAGGCTTCAATAATTTTTTGTTTGTTATCTATTTCTCTTATTCTTCTCTCCATAATGTTTAGGAACCCAAAAAGTTTATAATTTTAAATCCAACTGTATCTACGTCCTTCTCAATATCTGTGAAATTGAATCCAAGAGATCCATCCCATCAATGGACCGAGATCTGCAATATTAATTGTATCAGTTTTATCTCTATCAAAACGGTGAAATGCTTCTAAATATTGCGAAATTTGTTTGTCGTTCAATTTATTCTCTATTATTCGATTTCGTCTAAAACGTTCGAATAAAATCCTGATAAAATTAAGAATTTTATTTCAAAAATCAAAATTAATTATATAAAATTTATTTTAAAATATTATAAGAGTTATATGAGTTATATATATATATATA